TTTATTATGTCACTATTTTGCTTCTGTAATTAATGGAAATAATGGGCTTGGTGTCATGGCATTTGTCAGGAGATACAAGAAGGACGCAAATTTAGCAGAGGTGAGATGTATGCTGTTTCTCATATCAAAAAGGATGGCAATTTTGTGAATGAGGAAGCTAGGCTAAAAAATGTATTAACACTTCCTTGTAATTTGTTTTTATATCAATTTCTAGCTTTGAGGTACACTTATACAAGGTTCTCATGCCCTGTATGTAGGATAATTTAATTATAGAGATGGATAAAGCCAATTTCGAAGATGAGGCTTTTGTAAATGTGTTTGGGAAGGAGCACCCAGGTCGAGTTAGAGGCATGGGTTTTGGGGTGGTCCCAAGCCAAATCCGTAGAACATCTACCAGTTCAGCCTCAACTTCTTGTAGTGGTCCTACACAAGCTGAGTATGATGCCCTGAAAGGAGAATTGGACACTATAAAAGGCAAGATGGCTGAGTTTGATACATTGAAATCGCAAATGGCACATTTTATGCAAAATTTTGTTGGCCACTCACCATCTAATCAGGTATATGGCAGTTTTTCTGTAAATTGCATATTCAGTTTGACTATATTTTTTTTTCCTTTGTAAAATTTGTGCTATTAGTGCAAAGCATTTCAGGTTGTGGTGTGGCACCATTGTCCTTTGGCTATTCTGATATTGTTTTCATTCTTCAGATATTTATCATTTATTGAACTTGAATCGACATTGTGCTTAAAGTTTGGTAGATATATATATATATATATATATATATATATATAGATATATGGTAGGCTTTTCTGCGAATTGCACCTTCAGATTCACTATTTTTTTGTTTCCTTTGTTACCTCTGTGGTACTAGTGCAAAACATGAAGGTTGTGATGTGGTATTAATTATCTTTGGCTATTCTGATATTTTTTTCATTCTTGATATATTTATCATTTATTGAACTCGGATTGACAGTGTGCTTAAAGTTTGATACTGTTCCAAGTTGAAAAAACTGGAAATATGGTTGTTGACTGTTCCAACTTGAAAAAACTGGAAATATATATATGGTTGGTGACTGTTCCAACTTGAAAAAACTGTTCTATATATGGCTGCACTGCCAATATTGTTATTTTTATTGGAAGATGAATTACAATTGTTTTTTTGGTAAAATCTAAGTTTCCATTGTACTTGATATATGTCACCACACCTGCTATATATGTACTCCACTGTTGGCCTTGTAGTGTTGTGACATTATATAGTCTGAACTTCATAGATGCTGATTCCTTCAGTTTGCATAAAAAAATTAGGAATGGATTATATGGTTGCTGGGATACATATTTAGTTTGTATGGATTATATGGTTGCTGGGATAAAGATTCAGTTCTGTTGGATTATTAGTGTGTATGGATTATATGGTTGCTCAGTTGCACTCTCTAACCTTGTTAAGTAATTCGTTATTGTTCTGTTCTACCTACTTATGGTCAGTTACTGCTTATGTCACTGATACATTTACCTAGAGCTGTTACCTCAAGTGTATATACTCCAGTTTTGTCAATAATAGAAATCTGATTAATTCTCAACCTCATTTTGCTTTATATTTTTTTTGCGTTTTCTTAACCTTTTTCTTAAAATTAACTTATGGATTAATATATGTTTTCTTTTTTCCTAATATATCAGGTTGTTGACTTGGGCTCTCCTGGAATCAGAAAGTCCTCCCATGCTAGTCATGACCCTTCTGATGGGCCAACTATATCAAATCAAGCACCCCAACCACCACAATCCTAATTTCACATGATTTGGTAGGTGTTCATTGAACCACTGTATTTTGGATATTTCAGTGGTTGTACATGGAATTTGGTCGTTTTGGAGTTTAACATTGTTGGTTGAATTCCAATGTTTTTCAAGTTAGGCAGTACCTGGATCTTTTTTTTTTGATGTAATTGATGACCTTGGTACGTTCTACATGCAACCAGCTTGGTCTGTTTTGCTTTTGTATGTTAATTAAGCTTTGGTCAATATGTATGTCACTGTTTCCAAACTTAAAGAATGAATGATGTTTACTTTTTTGCATAAATATCCTCGATCCATGCATGAATGTTTATAAAGCCTTGATTAAAATAATACTATACTTTTTTGACAGGTTATCTATTTTGGTTTTGAATATTAACCTTTGGTAAATATGTTTCGGAATTTAAAGATTGGAGAATGTTTCTAATGTTTTTGGGGTTATGCCCTCCTTACCTAACAAAAAATTGTTTACTTTTTTCTTTACTATTCTAATGCATCAATGTTTATAAACCTCTGATTAAAATAATAGGGGATTTTTTATTAAAACAAAATAATAATTCAAATTAATTTTAAGCTTTTTTAAAAATATTAAAAAGTTTAATATTGGCGGTTATAAAGACCATCCGCGAACTCCAACACGAGGCGGTTCACCCACCGCCAGAAATTATTTCACATTTTTCCGTAAACTATGCTGACCGAGTGACAAGTCACGTTGAACGTTGCTGTATGGAAATAGCAGGCGGTTAGCCTAAACGCCATAATTTTTTGCCGACTACATAAACCGCCCTCATAAGCGTCGAAATATTGACATCTTTGGCGGTTAGTCTTACCGCCTGCAGCTGAGAATTTCATCATTTTTGGAATATCCTACGACGACCTTACCCGACGAAAGAACCGCCCTTGTTATACTGTGGCAGCTGTTCCAGCGGTTTTTCTAAACCGCCTGAGAATGACGTCTCGACCGTGGTAACAAAGGCGAATTGTCAACCGCCAAATGAGTTAAATGCAGGCGGTTTTGACCGCCTCTGATAGACAAAACAACCGCCTTCATTTGCACAGTTTGTTGTAGTGACATCGTCTTCGATCAATACTCTGCTCTCACTAAATTATAGAGCTCCCACTTGACCAGAATATACAGAGAAAAAAAAAGAACATTAGTCTAAAATGCCAGCTACAGATAACTGAATCAGAAATCCTCATCTAATTTAAAAAAGAACACTACGCATACATAGCTTCCAACCAGCTGATTAAGCAATCAATGCTAGAAAGGGATCTCAAACCAACCTCTCTGCCACAGTTACATTCTCGCCATAGTTTGCACCCGAAAGCCAATTATTCTCGTCTTTACACCAATTGCGAAAGAGACCCTATGTGAGCGCTCACCACTTGTACCCGACTTTCAATTTTTCTTCAAATATAAGGAATATACATATAGGGGTTGTCATTTCTACAGTTGCTATATGTACAACAATTAAATTTGGGAAATCATAAACATACAAAAGTGAGTGAAAACATTAAATGTGAGGAATCAATGATCAAGATTAATTGTTGTACATACAACAACTGCATAAATGATTATACCATACATATATAACCATACTCACGTTCAAACGATAATTTCTACACTTCATTTTACCCAAAACAAGCACAAAACAACAACTCGTCCAAATGATAAGAAATGCAATTACCTTTGGAGATTGGGAGAAAAACTCCACTATTCTGTCTGTAACATTGTGTGATTTTTCCATTGGTTCTCTGAATCCCTTGCAAGCCACCCTTCCTCTTCCCTCGAGAACCAATGCTTTTTATAATTTTCACTACGTTGCCTTCAAAGCATTCCACCTTGAATCATGAACTCATACTTTCTATCATTTGAACAAAAACAAGAAATACCAAACTTTGATACTAGTTGTTACGAAATAAATCCAGATCGATATTAAAAACAATAGTGCAAGATTTATTTCTATGCAACAGAAACATCATTTAGTTATTTCTTTCATCAAAATATAGCAAAAATCAACAACAAAAAAGTATAAATAAAATCACAAAACCCCGTATACACCCTCCCACAATTTCTTATACAACATATATGATAATGCCTATTTAATTCTCTGAAGGTTGCATATAATTTTTATATACTTATAGTGTAATATATATTATATATATTTAATGGTTAAACTTTACTTGAAAATAATTTGAAAGCTATTTTTTTAAAGAAAAAACAAAGTAATTCCATCACATATGATTATTTGACAGAGCTGTTCACATGTGTGGGGTCCTCTATGACCTCACTACCGCTATTTTTATCACACGTTTCATTCCCTTCTTTAATCGTTTTTTTTTTTTAATGCTTTATTTCTATTTTCTTTTGAGAGAGGGCATAAGGCATCAACCAAGTATCTCCGACCGCATCATCATCTGGTCTTAGTCAATTATATAGTTGAAGATTATCCAAAAGACACAAAAAGAAAGAAACAACATGGCATTCCTCGCTTGGCCAATAACTATCGTATTTACATGGAATTAACATTACATTCACACAAACAATATATTCCATATGAAGATGCCAATCGAGACTCAAATAATTGTTCCAATGCTGGCCAGCTCTTCTTCCTTTTATAGCGTCATCACTCACTAATCTCTTGCAATTTACAAAAAGCTACCAAAACACAAAAGTGGCAACAACATAAAAAAAAGAAGTAGACACACTCATCAAATCTCTACGTTCTGCTCCCAACAACGTGGGGCTTCTCGAAACCACCACATGCATGTAATCATCATTCTTCTCTCTTAATACTAAAAACTAAAAAGAATAAACATGACGAAATGGCCAGTTCTTATAGTTCAGTACGTGAAGGAAAGGGGAAATATTCAGAGCTTTATTGTATATAGCTAATAACTAAACGACGTCGTACACAATATGATGTCCATATATGCACATATTTCCCTTTTCTTTTTTCTCTTTTTTGTTACTATTTACTTATATAAGAATAAATCTTTAATGCTACGATGCATTTAAAATTCACTGCAATTTTTATTTATTGTGTGATATATGGACAAAAAGCATCACATCATCTGATCAAGTATCATTTAATTTTTGTTTTCTTCATATGATGTGAGTTTTTTGTTCACGTATCACAAAATAAATGAAAGTTGCACAGAATCTTTCCACTAAATTTATTCCTTATATAAACGACTACTCATAATGCTTTGCTTCTATTGTGAAAGCATGGTGCCTAAAATCCGATAAAGATCCGAAAGTTTGGACCGAAGGGTCATGGATTCGGATCGTAGACGTTCATTTTCCACGGATAGTAGGAAATGGTGGTGCACGGTCAAGCATAGCCGGTTTTTCAGTTCTTGGTTTTCTGTTCTGAACCGGTTCACTTGGTTCGTGAGGTTATCTAAATGCCTCTTCTTTCTCCAGCGGGACCGCCTGGCTGACTCCCGGTTTGACTTCATTCGCCTTAGCTTTCTCTCGTGCGTCGAGTAAACCGCCCGGTTCGATCCTTGTGAACCGGAACCTGGGCTGGCCGGGTCTTCCGGTTCGTGAATGAGGGTAAACAGCTCCTCTACTTCACCTGGTGGGAACATGGTTTCGAGAAGACATGATAACTTGACCTCTTCGTTGTCGTGGAAGAACATTGCTGCAGAAGCAATTAGCAAAAAAAAACCGATAGTTTCAAAATAATGAACCGGAGGGAGGAGAGTTGGGGAAAAGGGAAGAACGGAAGCGTAGGGGATGGGTATTTAAAGAAGGGGAGGAGCGCCAACTTGTGGGGTCTACCATAGCAAAAGATATTGGAAACTAAAGGCCGCATTAACTTGTGGAAAGAAAAAGCAAAAGTGGGACTTTGAGATGTACGTATGGCTGTTTTTCTACTGGCCTACTATTCAATTCCATGCAAAACTTTAAGGTGGCATGGTGGTGGGGGGTTTCATCATATGAAAAGCTTTTTTTATTTTTATTTTTTTGTTATGGTAAAGTAATGGGGTCCTCTGGGAAGAGTAGCTTTAGCTTAATGACGAAGGATCAATGAAAAACAAAAAAATGTGCAAAAAATTGGATTAGAAAGTTACCGGACACGACTAACTAATAGTGCGCCGAAGTCATTTTGAACACGCACATGTAAGGTGAAAAAGACAGTGAAAGTTGCCTCCAAAAAACATTATCGGAAAAATTAGTATGGTGAAGTTGGACTAATGAATGTTTGGTACGTGGAAAATTGTACCTAATTAATAGCCTGGCTATATATTGTGGTTGTGGCTACAAATTAGTTCTTTTCCGCTCCCAAGTCCCAACCACAATACATGTACCCACGTCGTTAATTGAAGACTTCAATCAAGCACTTTGAACGTTTACACACAACGGAATAAAAAATCCAGAAACCTGAGTCACAATGAAGCATTCGTCATAAGTAAAGGAAGGGCTTGTGAGCTATAGTTTAAATTCCTTTCGTGTTATAACAAGCTACCGAAATGCATTAGTCGCTATGTGCTATGTTTATGTTAGAGACATAATATAAAATTATTGAAAACTCAATACTTAAAACTTGAGCTATTAGGTGAATTGATTACTTTACGTGAACTAGTTTCAATCTTGATATGTTCATTTTACTGATACAAAGTAGCTTGATCCTATCATGTGTTATTTAATATAAAGAATTTTAACCATTAATAATCAAATCAGCAGCGATGATTGTATAACTTCCCATCCTTATTTTTTTCTTCTTCTCTTATTACTATTAATTCATTCTTGTATAGTTAAAATTTTCTCACATGACATGATCATGTTAATTAATACATAAGAGGATATTGTCATATTACTATATACATCATCGATCCTCAATAATTTATTTAGTTAAACAATGAGAGGAATATTCTTGGGTAGTTTTCTTTGTTCATGAGCACATTCTAGGGTAAAGGGGCAGTTTTGTTTTGGTTGGCAGTTATTGGTTCCCCAAAATATTAAAGCCGCATTGAGTGGAGGATAACATGCAATCCTTTCTATTGTCGTTTTAATGAACCGTGATTAATTTAATGATCGCAAAAAAGAGAATTTAGCAACAGTGTCTTTTAGCAAGCCAATGCAAAGTAGTTAGCATGTGCTGCAAGTAAATTTTAATAGAAAGAAGAAGTAGTGTCATTTGGATGCAACTTCTCCTTTTGGGATTTATCAACTCTTTGCACGTTGTCTTGTATATGCAGACTCGATCGAGAGTGGAGAGCATAGCCTGTTTCCTCCAGTTTTACCTTCATACCCTCCTTGAAGTGAGGATTCCCAATCATATTCATCTCATGCAGTTATGTTAGTTAGTTCTTAATAGTGGGCTTGATTATAAGGCGCACTCATTATCATAATAAGCACTCTTTTATTTATCTATTCATTTATTTTTTTTGTTCTTTCTACTCAAATCAGGACAATTTACAAGCAAGAACGGTCAGGGAAAGAATTACGTATATAATTTGCTTAAATTATTTGGTCCATAAAAGAACAATTGTCCCGGGCATTAACACCTAAGTAAAAACTAATTAGTTGTAACGTACATGTCAAACTCGTCCATTTTTCTGTTTATGCCGAAAAAAGAGAAATGCTCGTCCTTCTCACTCTTTAATGTTAACCACTTACTCCTACTATAAAGTACTTATGATGAGTCATTCATTGATAAATTTATATTGTAGTTTTTTTTGTAATAAAAATCCATTTTATTGTGGCAATAACTCGCAGCAGCTTGGCTTCTGAAGTGGCGGTTCACTTGTCTACCTGAGTAGTTTTTAATCAAAGAAACAAATTATCAATATGAATTCATAAAGCATTTAAATAAACAAGTCGTTGTAGTATAGTGGTGAGTATTCCCGCCTGTCACGCGGGTGACCCGGGTTCGATCCCCGGCAACGGCGAGTTTTTTGATTCTCTTAAGTTTTAACCAATTGTTGCGCTTTTCGTTTGGGTCGTATTTTTCTTTGGGTTCAAATAGAAGGTGAAATAGCCCAAATAAAAAGGAGCTGAACTAAGCCTTTTCTCATAATGCTAAACTGGGCCCTTATGAAGTATCCACAAAGGCACCAAGTGGTAATTGAAACAGAAGTTTGTAGTGGCAAAACTAGTCCCAACAACTCTGGAGCTTGCTAAATATAATAAAGTTTTATAAATATAATTTGGGTTTTGATATGGTCTCCTAAAAGCACGTGTTAAAAAATAAACTTAAAATTTGATGTTTTTATCAATTACTTAAAAAGATAAATTAAATGCTTTTAGATTTTTTTCAATGGGTTAGTTTTCTGAACAATTGATTAGTATCATGTTAAACTAAGGGCACTTGTATTTGATCATAGACCAAGCGTGAGGGAGTTCAACATTTTTATGGAATTTATTTTTTCTTTCAATTTGTGAATAAGGAAAGAAAGGAAAAGAGTTGGAAAGTAATAGGGAGGATAATTCCCTTTGATGAAGTGAACTACATCACGAAGACTATATTTATGAAATTTTTATATCCTTTGTTTTATTAGCTAGGTAGTTTTTTTAAATCTTTCATTTAAACGTATTTCATGCATATTTAGGAGTGGCAATTCAAATTGACAGGATACAACACGGCACGAATTCAATAAAAGTAGGTGTAAAACACAAATTTTCATCGTTGTGTTTGTTATCCTTGTACATATTAAAGTAGGTGTAAAACATAGAGATAAAAACACACACATCGGTAAGAAAATAATAAAAAAATATTTAATACTACATTTAAGAACAACACTTATCTAATACTCGTTAAAATAAAAATTTTAAAAGAGTAAAAGTGAAATACATATTATTTATATTTTATTATATAAAATTTCATTATTTTAATTTATGAGGAGGATATTTTTATTACCAAAGATATTCACTACCTATCTAATCACCATTAGATTAGAGATAAAACTTTTAAACATTCTCTCTCTGATCCAATGGTGATTAGATAGATAGTGAGTTGATAATGAATTTTTTTGGTAGTAAGAATATTTTCATCTTTATTTATAGCATAAAAGTTAAATTAATAGTTTCTTTCCTTTTTTATTAAACAACAATAAATGAAAATTGAAATCTTTATCTATATTCGTTTTACGTGCAACAATGACAAATATATGGTTATGATTCTCCACATTTAATGTTTTTTTATCTTTTGTATGATTATGATTCTCCATATTTAATGTTTTCACGTATATATATGGCAAGTATTTGACTGTTGCACGTACAACAACTGCAGAAATATAAACCTCTATATGGTAAAATCATTTCTACAGCAGTTTTACGTAAAACAATGACAGATGTATTGTTATGATTCTCCATATTTAATGATTTCATATTTTGTATGATCATGATTTTCCATATTTAATGTTTTCACGTATATATATGGCAAGTGTTTGACTGTTGCACGTACAACAGCTGCAGAAATATAAATCTCTCTCTCTGTATATATATATATATATATATATATATATATATATATATATATATATATTATATTTATATGGGTTTATCATTTCTCAAGCTGCTTGAGATAATTTTATCTCTGGCTACTAAATAATATCCGTACAAAGATGGTTCAATGGTGATAAAGGAAGAGAGAGAAAAAGGGAATCATAAACATTCAAATGTGAATCAATTAATATAAGAAAATAAATAAACAAAACGACGTAGTTTGGGGATGGCCGGAGATAAACTTATCTCAAGTTGCCGGTGAAATATTTTTCCATATATATATATATATATATATATATATATATATATATATATATATATATATATATATATATATATAGGGTCAGGATCATTTTACACCAGTGTAAGTTACACTCTTAATTTTGTCAGTTAATCCCACTTATATCTAAGGGCTCTAATTTTTTAGTAACGTGAGCGATTGGATATAAGTGGATCAATGGTCTGTAGATACAAGGTATGTTTTGATGATAACAAAGTGGCAACAACAAAAAAGCAAGCTCATTTGATCAAGAGCAAAAAGCATCAACCATATGTGGATATTGAAGATGTATGATGTAGCCACACAACAAGAGTGATGTCAAATCAAAGTGGAAAGATCATTGGATTAAGAGCAACAAGGAATAATTAGAAGAGCAATAAAAAGATCCAAGACACAAGACATGAAGCTAAGTCTAAAATCATATTTAGAATATATCTTTAGGACTTAAAATATATGTGAGGGTATATGATAGATTGCATTGCATGAGCTCAAAGTTTTTCTCAAAGTAAATGTGTTTTTCAAATTGCATAATCATAACCTTTATGTACTTGAAAGAAATTTAAAAAATTCATGGAAAAGATCCTTGACATATTTTATAACTTCAAAACATATTTATCAAGTCAAGATCTTTCATAAAAAGTAGTTGCAAGCAAGTTAGAACACATTTGAACTTAAATTTGTTGCTTAATTTCGTTGTTGTCTTCCATACAATTTTTCGTATCTAAGATGATGGTTTTGGATCTTGTGTTCTTCATAAAAGTTGTAGATCTCTCTTTTATCTTTCCAAAGAGACCAAGATCACATCAATCCGACAAGTATAACTCAAATTATAACCAAAATACGAAACAATGTTCTTGTTGTCAAGTTGGGAATCTATTACCACCGCAACAGATCCCAACGGCTATAGAA